CTCCACAACTAGACTGAAGAACAAAAGGACAGCAACTTGTCTGTTCCCCTCCCTGAATTCCCCAATAAAATCTTATAAAATAGATTTTAAAAAGAACTTAAGAAGGGACAGGAAAGCGTTACCTGTCTAGGGCTGCTTGGGAGAAACAAAGGGTTTCTGTGCAATCAGGGCTTTCTGAGCAGATTACTGGTACCTGTGTGAAAGGGTTTGAATGTACCATTTACCATTTACCACAGGAAGATACAGAATGTTTCCTCTCCATTGTACTTGCCACAAGCCTGCTGGTCCCTTTCAAAGGTAATAAAACCTAGAGCCATTTGCTTATTCACTCTCACTCTCTCCTCTTCCCCCAACTCCTAGAGAAGAGATAGTCACTTGTCATACGTAAACTCTGAATTTCATAATTGCAGGATTCATCTTCTGTTGTGTAAAGCCCCTCTGCACACAGTGGCTTTCATTGTGTCATCTGGTGGGGAATTTGGGCATGGGGAAGTGATGCAGGATGCTGTCATTAAACAGTCTGTCTCTGAACCAGTGATCTTGCGATTATGGTAGTATATGTGTGTTCCATATAACTGTTTCTGGCTGTACCTTTGATTTGCAAATAGGAAAAGATCTTAGACGTTCACAACTTCTCAGACCCATCACAGGGCAATTAATAGGATGTGCCCTCTGATTCACTTTACTCTCAGAGACCCAGAACATCAGCCAAGAGGTGTTCCTTCTAAGAGTCCCTTCTTCATTACATCCAAGAGGCAGCCACACCCATCAGAGAGCTAAATACCTGTCTCACAGGGGACCTGGGAAAGGGATGGGAGGGGGCATATAAGCACAGCCCTCCAGCCTGCCTCCCTCCAGTGTCCAGAACCACACAGATAGGAGTGGAGAATGCAAATTAACATAAGTCACCAGACCACAGGCTCAAGAATCATGGGGACAGCTAAATAAACTGCCAACCCCAGTCAGGAAACCCCACTGGAGTACCCTAAAGGGGACTTCATCCAGCCTGTTAGGACATCAGATAATTAACCACTTTAAGCAGCTTCTTACACTTGAATAGCTCTGAGTACTCTTCACCAGATACAGAGCCCCTGCTCCACCTCAGGCCCTGTGCTAGGAGCCTGGTGTACAAAGATAAATAAAAAACATCCATGCCCTCAGGGAATTCTCAACCCAGTAAGTGAGACATAAAAATAAAAGGTATTTGTGATTCAATGAGTAGGAGAGATCAACTCTAGGAGAGAAGGGTGGTCCTCTGGAAGATAGTACAGAAGAGCAGACATTCAATCTGGGTCTTGAGAGGTGAATATCAATTCCTCAGGAAAGACATCCCAAGCAAAAATGGGCAGCATGTTAAAAGGCTCAGAAACCTGAAAGTATATGGCCAGGTCTGTGACTTATAACTGATTAGATGGGGCAGGAGATCACGGTGATGGAAGCTGGAGACATTCATTCATTCAAGTGCCTATTTATTATGTGTCAGGCACTATGCTAAACCCTGTGAATATAGCAGGAATAAAGCAGAAGATATTGTTTGTATGGAGTTCAGATTCTAGTTAGCTGGTGGGATGAAGGGAATGCAATAAACATGTAATAGACTGTGGTAAGTGCTGTGAGGAGAAAGGAGACAGAGTGTTGAAGATTGATATGTTATATAGGATTGTTAGGGGAGGGCTCTCAGGGGTTTTTGAACAGATACCCAAGTGATTTGGGAATGAGAAGTTAAGGATATCTGGTGGATAGCGTTTAACACAGAGACAAAGCCAAGTACAAAGATCCTGAGGTCTTTGGAATGTTAAAGGAAGTGATAAGGAGGCCACTGTGGCTGTTGGAGAGTAAGGTAAGGGGTGGTGGTGGTGGTGGGGAGAACAGTAAGAGATAAGATTAGAGAGTGGCAGGGCCAGATCCTGCAGAGCCTTGTGGAGCAATGCTACTCAAAATATGGTCCAAAGCAAGGGCCAGCCTGCAAATTGTGTATTACTGCAATATGAGGAGATAAGTAAAGAGGTCAAGAATAAGTATTTATAAAATTTCACATTGCAGGGGCCGACCGTGTGGTGCGTTGGTTAAAAGCTGGCTTAAGACACCAGCTCTGTGCAGCAGGGCCCCGGTTTGGATCCCACATGAGGGCCTGTGACACTGCCCTCTACAGTTAAGATGGTGAACAACAGCTCAACCTGGAGCTGGGATGCCATGAGTCACCCGCAATGGCGTAGGCTGCAGCCCCTGCTGCAGTGGGCTGCTATAAGCTACCGTGTATGGCCAGCAGCCAGCGTGAGCGGCCAGCAGCTGGTGTGAGCTGCCAAGAGCCGCTATGAGCGGCTGTCCAGAGGCCAGCGACCGATCTGCCTCACCCAGGGAACAGCGCAATGATAATACCAACATGGGCCAGTGAAGCGACGTCCTCCACAACTAGACTGAAGAACAAAAGGACAGCAACTTGTCTGTTCCCCTTCCCCCGATTCCCCAGCGCTGTTTTCCCCTCCTCCAATTCCCCAATAAAATCTTAAAAAAATAAATTCACATTGCAGCAACATTTCTATTGTATTTTACAAAAGTGTCATCTGCAATGGATTGGAGCTCTAAAAAAGATACTTGGTCCCATGCCACAGAGAGTTTGAGAAGCGTTGTAAATATGAAGTATACTAAGGACTTTCGCTCTTGCTCTTAGTAAGCCTAGGAGCCACCTCTTTCCTCTGATCTTAGAGGGAAAGTTTTTGGTCTTTCACTATTGAATATAATGTCATGTTCATTGGATTTTAAAATGAGAGAAATAGCATGGTTGTGTGCAAATGGAAATTATCCAGTAGAGAAGGAAAACTTGATGATTCAGGATAAAGAAGGGAGTCATGTGGAGAACTGTCCTTGAGTAGGTAAAGGGGACTGATACCTCACTCACCAGTGGAGGGGCTGGTCTTAGTGCAAGCATAGAAACAATCAGTATATAGTCCAGGCTGGAAGGCAGAGTATCCGGGCAAAGGTGTTGATAGGTACTTGTTGTAGCAGGAGTCTGGGGGAATGTGTATTGTTGCCTTACAGCCGATTCCAAGACCACCCCCGCTACATTAGCTCCTGACCCTATTAATCATGAGAGAGTGTCTCAGTATGACTGAGGCCCAGTGGAATGATATCGGTAAAGCTCTCTGGGGGGGGAGGGTGTCTCAATATGACTGGGACCTGATGGAATAATATCAGTTATCTCCCCATTACGGGAGGACACAGTAACGTCAGTGTCCTGGGGCTGTGTAGTGATGTATGAAAGCATAGCATTTGTTGGAATACAATGGGGATAGGTTAATGGAAAACAGCCTTAAGGCACACAATAACACACGTTTACTAATTCACAGCAGTTTTTATTTCCTTGAAAATCTTCAATAAAAGCCATGCGTTGACCCGATTCGGGGCTCAGTTTTCTCTGGCTGAGTCCCTTGGTCTCGCTTTTATCTTACTTTTGTCTCTTGTTCTTATTCAATCTGCGTCGCCCCTCTCGAGTCCCATTTGCCCTTGCCACGCAGGACGTGACAGTCTATGAAATTGAAGCTCTAAATACAGATCTTTCTATGGCAGGCATCTTCTCATTGTTCAGGATTCAACTCAAATGTCATCTAATCTGAAGGAGCCCCTCTTACCTCATCATTCTGATCACAACATCCTATATTATTTTCTTCACATAGATATCAATTGGAAATAATCTTTATTTATATCTGTTTTTGTTTGTTTAGTACTGTGTTGAAAGCTCCATGAGTGCAACAATTGTGTTCATCTTGCTCAATTCTGAATCTCCAGTCCCTAAAACAGTGCTTGGCACAAAGCAGGTGCTCCATAAATTTTTACTAAATAACTAAATGAATGAGAGGAATGGACTTAGGGTTTTATTGCTGCCATGAGTTAAGTGGGAAAACACTGATTTACTTCACTAAGGTGAAAGAAAAAGATTTGCCTAACTGAGGTTGGAAACCACAAGGTATGTGTCACAGTTCTAGTTGCAAGGCATGCAGTAGTTTTTGACCTGATAGTGCACATCAGCCTAGGAGCAGGATTCATTCATTCAAAATTGGGGTTGAGTGCACAGGGCAGCCCAGGTGAGACCCAAGGATTGAGCAAGTTGCCCTGATAAAAGCAGGGCTGAAAAATGTGTCCTAGACAAGGAAGGAAGTGAGTCAAGAAATGGGAAATGGACGAAGAGACATAAGGGACCCACTTCCACCTATAATAAGGTCAGATATCCGGTGTGGTATAACAAATTTATACTACAAGGGTAGGATTGGGGAGTCATAGGGCTTCCTTTTCTGAGCCCAAATCAGCCTCCCTATAGCTTCCTCTTTTGTTCCTATTCTGTCTCCGGAACCAAACAGACATCAGTTGTTTTCCTCCAAAATCCTTATACTCTGAGTCAAGAATTTTTGTTCTCTCCCATGGAGTCTTGTTTTCTCCAACACAACAACCCTCCACTGCCACTTCTTCTGGTGCTCAGAGCCCCCTCATTCTCCAGATTACGGGAGGATCTTTATAAGCCACTTAGAATTACCTGCAGTGGAAGAAATTTGAACAATGACTTGGATATTTGAGGATTTAACAAATTTCTTAGTTTTCTTTTTTAGCATGGTATTGTGTATGATAGGTATGATATTGTGCTTATGTTTCAGAAAGAGTGCTTAACAAAGACATCACAAGAAAAGAAAATTACAGCCCAATATTTTTTATGAAATCGATGTAGGATCACTCAACAAAATACTAGAAATTGACTCCAGAATGTATATAGGAAGAATTATACACCATGACCAACTGGGATTTATCCCAGGAATGCAAAGTTGGTTCATATGTATACACTTGCAATGAATATTCGGAAAATGAAATTTGAGAAAACAGTTCACTCAGTAGTATCAAAAAGAATAAAATACTGAGGAGTAAAAACAACAAGTGAAGAGCAAACTTACACTTTAAAACTACTTTAAATATTTACACTTTAAAATATTGTTGAAACAAATTAAAGAAGATCTAAGTAAATGGAGTAACATTCCCTGATCTTAATATTGTTAAGATGTCAATACTCCCCAATTGATGTACAGATTCAATGAAATTTTTATAAGAATCTAAGCTGACTTTTTGTATAAATAGACAAGATGACTTTAAAGTTCATGTGGGTTTCAACAGTTGCTGAACAGACAAAACAATCTTATAAAAGAAGAACAAGAAAGTTGGCACACTCACACTTCCTGATTTCAAATCTCATTGTGAGGCAGATGTTATCAAGACAGTGTTGTCCTGGGCTGGCTGAGTGGCGGGTTGGTTAGGAGTTGGCTTGGGACACCAGCTCTGAGCAGCAGGGCATGGGTTCAGGTCCCACATATGAGGGCCAGTGACACTGCCCTCTACAGCTAAGATGGTGAACAACAGCTCAACCTGGAGCTGGGCTGCCATGAGTCCCCCGCTACAGCATAGGCTGCAGTGGGGCTGGCCAGCAGCTGGCGTGAGCTTTCCTGAGCTGCCAAGAGCTACCGTCAGTGGCCATCCAGTGGCCAGTGACCAATTTGCCTCAGCCATGAAGAGTGCAATGATAATACCAACTTGGGCCAGTGAAGCGACGTCCTCCACAACTAGACTGAAGAACAAAAGGACAACAACTTGTCTGTTCCCCTTCCCCCAATTCCCAGCGCTGTCCCATTCCCCAATTCCCCAATAAAAATCTTTAAAAACAATAAATAAATAAATAAATAAATAATCATTGGTATGTATGGTAATGGAATTATATCTCAATAAAGCTATTATTTTTTAAAGGGGTGATTATCTTTATAAATATATACCCAAATAGCTATGGATAAAATAATAAGATATCTGGGATTTGCTTCAAAAGAATCCATTGAGGGTGGTGAGGAGAACAGACTGGCCCTAAATTGATAATTGCTGAAGCTGGAGGCTTGGAAGTTCATTATATTATTCTCTACACAGGTATGTTGAACATTTTTCATAAGAGTAAAAAAAGAAGATTCCCATGCCATGTTCTGGCTCAGAAAAGAGGGGACTGCCATCTCCTTCGACAAGTTATTATTTAGAGGCCCCGCCCAGAGATCCTCAGATCAGGGAGATGAATTATTCAGGGGAATCTGAGAGGCATGGAAGCCATGGAAGGTAGTGAGGCGGTGAGCACAGAGGCTGGTTTGGGCCAGGGCAGCTCAGCCCCCTCGGCCCTCAGTGACAACCCACAGGCCATGCTGACCGTGGTGGTGGAAGTAGAGCAGGCGACAGGATCAGGTAAGAAGCTGCACACATTCATTCTCAGAGGCAGTACAGCCTGGGAGAGCCTCTTGGGAGAGGGAGAGGGAGAGGGCTAGGCCATCGTAGGTTAGGCAACTGCGGCAAAGGTTAAGGGCAGGACTCAGGAGTCCCGGTTTCTCGGTTCCCCTCACGAGAGTTGATATGAAGTCCACCTTTCTCAGGCCCTGAGGAGACCTGTCACCCCACATTCCTTCTGGAGGAGCCCAACAGCATCCGTCTGCTTCAGCCAGGGACTCTGGCGACACAGGTGGAGATGGGATGAGACGTGGGTGGGGCAGCAGAAGATGGGAATGACATTGCTAACCCCAGCCCTGCCCGCAGGAACAGTGTGTCACCTTTGACCGAGTTCTGGGTTCTGAAGCTGCTCAGGTAGGGGGGTCTGATAGGGCGATGAGAGGAGGATGGGAGCCCCCAGCGCCCTGGAGCCTGGGATGCTGAGTGCTTCCCCAGCCCTTTGCTCAGGCCACACTGGGTCAGGGCACCTCAGACAGGGGGCTGTGCCTGTATCTCCCTGCAGGAGGCAGAGCAGGAGCTGCTAGCACAAGTCCAGTCTCAACTAGGCTCTGTGGGCCGAGGGTACAGTGTGGCCCTGCTGCTTCGGGGTCGGGAAACAGAGGCAACCCGGCTCGTGCCTCAGGTGAGTCCCAGAGGAGCCATGTGGTATAGGTGTCACGTCCTCCAGAGGACCCTTCCCCTCCCTACTGTACTGGACTAGGTGCCCCTCCTTGGGGCCCATATAGCGCCCTGTGGTCTATACAGGATGTTTGGCCAGGGTCAATTTACGCAGCTATGGACAGGTCAGGGAAGGTGGGAGGCTGGAGCCGATGAGATGAGGGTCAGGGAGGGGTGGTGTGCAAAGATCGAATATCCAGGGAGGTCTTATTTTCACAGTTCTTGGTAATACTAATAATGATAAAAGAAACTGGCAAGTTTTGTTTTTTGGACTTCATAAAAAATGCCCCTGAATCAAAATAGCTGCTCAGAACCTTGCCATGGGTCCCTGCCCTAGTAAACAGCAGGCCCCACTGCAAATGTCTGTGCACTGGTCTAGCTTGCTGTGAACTGTGAGGACTGGGCCTCCTTCTGTCCTGGATAGCGTTTCCCTAACACCAAGCACAGGATGCAGTGCAGGCTTCGCCTCAGGAAATGTGGAAGGACATTTCTTTCTCAATTTATTTCTCAATCCCCACTGAACCCCTTTTTCCACTTTAGCTGCTGCAGATGCTGTTTGAGGAAGCTCTGCCCCTCGGGGGCTCTGATCCTGTGCTTAGTACTCTTAGCCTGGTGCAGGTGAGGCCTGGTGGGAGGGGAGATCTGGGAGCCAAGTCCGTGGTGATGCTGCAGAAAAAGCCTGAAGCTTGTTGGCAGCCAGAAAGCTTGGGTCTAGCTCCACTCTGCTGCCCACCAGTGTGGGCTTGCCTCTCTGGGGTCTCCTTTTTCCTGCCTGAAAAGGCTGAATTTTGGTGCCTCGCTTGGCCTACAGACTCCAGCGGGAAGAGCATGTGAGCTGGGGAAAGACTCTGTTTGTAACAGGTGTTGTGCTTGTGTGATCCCAGCTCAGCCCCAGCGGGAGGACTTGGGACCTGCTCTCTCCAGGGGCAAAGAACCTGTCGGTGCTGGATGTGGCCCCTCTGGGCTTGTGAGTGTCTGGGGCCCAATGGGGGTCCAAGGATGCTTGACTTAAGGCAGGGCTGACACCCCCCAAACCAGGCCCTTGGAGGTTTCTCCCCACTGCCACCCCAGGGATGGGAAGCTCTGAGCTTGGGGTCATGCTTATAGGGCCTGGGAGTGCTCACAGGCTTCCCTGTTTCCCTCATCCCTTCATTCCACATCCCCACCCCTGTCACTCCTCTCACCCATCCACTTCTACCTCTTCAGCTCAGTCATTATCATCCTGAGTGATCTGAGCATCTCGCTGAACAGAAGTTCAGTTTCTCCATCTGTAAATTGGGAGCCATCCCAACTACCCTGTTTCCTTCACTGGGCAGATGACAGCACCAAAACTAAGGTCATGAAGATGAGAGGCCTTTAGGGGATATACTGATCTTGGAGCCTTGGGGATGATTCTTACAGGTTCTCGGGACCCCCCTGGGCTCCCCAGGCAGAGGTTCTGGGGGGCTGGACAGAACTCTGGTGCTTAAGAGCTGAGCTCAGCCTCCCCTTCTTCCAGGGTGGTGGAAGGTGCCAGCGAACTAGAGGTGTCTGACTCAAGAGCTGCCTCAGAGCTGTACTTGCAGGCCACAGAGGGGGAAGGCAGGTGAGGACAAGAGGGCACCCATCACCCTCTCACCCCTTAGGCGTTTGGCCTGATCCTACCCTCTCCCCCACAGGGCCTGCTCTCTGCTTACTGTCACCATGTCCCGCCCAGGGCCTGACCCTCCTGAGGGGTCTGGGACCCAGAGTATGTGGCGAGGGGCCTTGCGGATCCTGCAGCTCCCAGGAGCCCTGTAAGTGACAGAAACTTCTGACTGCTTTGGAGGCGGGGTGGGGTGGGGGTGACTGAAATACGGAAGCTGAGCCCTAGGGCGGAGTCTCCGCCTTTCCTTACCTCTGACAGACTGAAGGACTCCCTTTAGCAATTCTTGTAAGGCAGGTGTACTAGCAGTGAACTCCCTCAGCTTTTGCTTATTTAGGAATATCTTAACATCGCCTACATTTTCGAAAGATAGTTTTGCCAGATAGAGATAGAATTCTTGGTTGACAGATTTTTTTTCTTTCAGCACTTGAAATGCGTCATCTCACCACTGCCTTCTGGCCTTCATAGTTTTTGATGAGAAATTTGTTTTTAATATTATTGAGGATCCCTTGTCCATAACAAGTTGCTTCTCTCTTGCTGTTTTCAAGATGCTCTCTGACTTTAACTTTTGACAGTTTGATTATAAAATGTCTCAGTGTGGCTCTCCTGGAGTTTATCGTCCTTGGAAATTTTTGAGCGTCTTGAATGTATAGATTCACCACATCTTTCATAAAATTTGGGATATTTTGGGGCATTATTTCTTCAAATGTTTTCTGCTCCTTTCTCTCTTTTCTCCTCGCATTGTGCATATGTTTGTACACTTGGTGGCATCCCATAGGTCTCTTAGGCTCATTTTCCTACATTCTTTTTTCTTTCTGCTCCTCAGACTGGATAATTAATTTTATTTGACCTGTCTTCAAGTTGCTTGAGATTCTTTCTTGTGCCTGCTCAAATCTGCCCTCTATTGGATTTAAAATTGCAGTTCCTGTAATTTTCACCCCAGAATTTCTAATACTTAGTTCCTTTTTATAACTTCTCTCCTTCTATTGATATAGTCTATGCATTGAGACATCATTTTCTTGATTTTCTTTAGTTTCCTGAACATAGTTAAGATGGTTGAATTACAGTCTTTGTCTAGTGAATCCAATGTCTGTGCTTCCTTAGGGACAGCTTTTATTAATTTCTTTTTTTTTTCCCTATGAGGAAGCCATACATTCTTGTTAATTTGCACGCCTCATACTTTTTGTTGTTGTTGGAAACTGGCCAATTTGAGTGTTTTTATTAACACTGTATTCTTTATTGTGTTGGTCTGCTAAGTCTCCAAACTTTTCCTTAGTGCTCAGACATTTAGGATACAGTGATGTGGTGACTCTAGAAACAAGATTCTCCCTCCTTTCCTGGGTTTGCATTGTTGCTTGTTGTGGGCTGGAGCCATCTGTTTGCTGAGTTACTTTTCCAAACAATTTTTGCAAAGGTTGTACTGTTTGTGGTCACTGAAGTCTCCATTCTATTATCTCAGTGGTCCGTTAGCCAGTGGCCTGACATAGAATTCCTTAAACTCCTGGGACCAAAACACTTAATTTAAAAAATAAAAAAAAAGGAAGAAAGAAAGGAAGAGAGAAAGAAAAGGGAAGAAGGAGGAAGACGAGGAAGAGGGGGAGGAGAGGAGGAAGGAGGAGAAGGAAAAGAAAAAGAAATTCTCCAGGTTTCTACAGATTAGCTCTGTGTTGGGTAACTCCTTCTATGCTTAGTCAGGCCACTGTAGCCCTGCCTTAGCCCACTTCGTGCTTTTACTTAGCCTAAAAATCAGTCTGAGGTGAAAGCTTATGTTCTTCTCAGGTCTTTTCTGAGCATGCATCCTGCCCTGGGCATGAGCATGGCTTTCTAAGTTCCCAGCACACATGGGAACTTTTCAAACTCCTTATTCCCCCCAAATCTCACTCCTCAACTTTTCCTTGGAGTCTTTCCATGTATCTGTTTGCCCCAAATATTATTTTTGCTTGTTCTTTCATCTTCAATGTTTGTTTTTTTTGGGGGGGTGGTTACGTTTTGAAACCAACGTTTTCAATGTTTTATGTCAGGGCAGCTGCTCTGTCCTGAAAGAGTTCCAAGATAAGTAAACCAAAAGGAAGCTCCTTTTGTTGGTCCTTTGGGGAAAAACCCAACCAGTCACAACAGATAAACACAATTCCTTGGGAATGAGTTCTGCTCTGTTCCCTCCAGAATCAGGTACTGCCCCCACCCCCAAGCCCCCAAAAATGTTTTAACTTACCCGAGCCCCAACCTCCTCCTCAGCACCTCTGTGGGCTTGGGGAGGTTGGATCTTGGGTAAGTTAAAACATCACAAAGCTCTCTTACCATATTTAAGAAAGTACCTTTCTCCTGGTTAAGCCTTCACTTGGTTGCCATAAACCTTTGACTATCTCCCAGGGTTCTGGTAAAGCTGATTCTGGCCATTTTTGCCCAATGTTTCTGGGGAGGACAGACCCCCCACAGTTCCCTACTCTGATATTTTTGTTGATGTTATTTTGCTTTGTCATTTTAAAATTGGGTTGTCTTTTCCTTGTTGAGGTGTAAGAGCTCTTTATATATTCTGGATAAAAGTCCATAGGCAAATAGATAATTGACATTTTTTATTTGTAATTAAAAAATAATAATAAAATAAAGAAGTACGCAAGGTTGCAAATCTGTCTGGTGGTGCACAAAAGTTACTGAAAATGGTCAACCTTTCTGTTAGAGTGACTTGGGCCAGTTTCTTTCCCCACCTGTCAGTGGCCATCTTTTTTCCTCCCTCCCTCTGGCAGAGACTGCCCCCTGCTGCAGGTGCTGGCCGGTGAGGTTGCTGGTGAGGAGGTGGAGGGCTCTCTATCCTGGATTGTCTCATGGCTCCTGGAAGGAAACAACTACACTGGTCTTCTTCTTCGCCTGGGACCTCAAGGTGGTCCACGGAGGGTGTGGGGTTCTTTGGGAGCCTCTGGGATCTGGCCTTAGGCCTGCCCCACCCTCTCACCCAGCCAGCCAGAGCCCATACCCAGTCCAGCGAGAGACTGACCATGTGGGAGGGCCAGGATTCAGCCAACTCCCAGGGTGGCTAGCCTGCAGAGGTCTGGAGTAACCCCTCACCCTTCAGAGGCCTTCAACAGTTTACCAAGCATTTGACAAATACCTTTGATTCTTACCACACCCCATGAGGCAGATGTAATTTGCAGATGAGGAAAGGGAGGATCAGGGATGGAAAGGTACTTGCCTATATTCACACAACCATTAAAAATCAGGCCTCTGCAAAATGATATGATGTCAAGGATTTGGAGGAGGTCAAGTGAAGGGTACAGATCAAACAAGAATGGCCATGAATTGATAAGTGTTGAAGCTGGGCTATAAGTAGATGGATTTCCTATACTTTGCATATGATTGAAAATTTCCATAATAAAAAAGTTAAAAAATACTCTGGCCCTCTGTCTCCAAAATCAACAAACACACATTCACTTGGCCAACATATTCCCAGACCTCCCCCTGTGCCAGGACCTGTGCAACATGGAAGATAAGTTGGGGCAGCTCAGATTCTCAAGGATAAAGCAGTGAGGGGCAGGCACATGTTTATAGGTCAGGTTGGTATCATGATTAAGAGCATAGACTTCAGTGTCAGACAGACCTGGGCTTGAGTTCAGCTCTGCCACTCACCAAAAGTTTACTTGACCTCTCTGAGCTTCAATGGCCCCATCTGGAAACTGTGTGTGGTGGTGGGGGGAGGTGGGGGGGGGGAGCAAGACAACAATTTTAGAGTTATTGACTCATTGGAGTGTGTGGCTAAAAAAGGCAATCCATGAAAAGCCTTAGCATAGTGCCGTCAAGCGCATGTAGAGAAGTCTGGTAGGTGTTAGCTGTTTTTATGAATAGCGCTATTAATAAAAAGTATTATGGGCAGTGGCAGTATGCTTTGGCGTCCATAGGAAGGAGTCATTCACTCAGTCTCCTTTTACTAGGCAGCTCCCTGAGCTTGCTCCAGGCTGCCCTCTTGGGGGCCGCGGGAAGGAGGATGCAGGTAAAACAGGTGAGGCCCACCCTGTGGGATGCAGCGGAAGAGGCCCGAGCTCGCAGGGCTGGCCTGAAGAGCCTGCGTTTAGGCCTCCTGGGTGGCACCCTGACAGATGATGGGCTCAACCAGCTGGGCAGGGCACTGCGGGAGTTGCAGGTGAGCAAAGTGAGGTCTGGAGGTGCTTGGGCCAGCCGTGGCCAGAACCCACTTTCAACGCCCTCTCCATAGGTGGTAAAAGCCTGGAGCCAGCGCCCAGAAAGCCGGATGCTCAAAGGGGTCAAAGCTGAGGCTGTGGGGCTCCCAGAACCACAGGTATGTCTTCTCATCCAACCTCTTGGGAGCCCCACTGGTGTCTGCCTTCCTTCCCTGTTTACAGAGCACTCTGAGGGGGCCCTTCCTTCATTCCTTAATTTATTGATTTCCAAACATTTATTGATCACTAACTATGTGCTGGGCAGAGTGCCATGTAGGCCCTAGGAAATCCCTGTCCTCAAGGAATTTACAGTCTGCTGGAGAGAAACAATTCCATCATATCAGTGCTCTGAAAGGCTTATCAACATAGGGTCCTATGGGGCATCTAAGTTAGTCTTGGCAAAAGAGGGAAGAAAGACTCAGGGAGGAAGTTGATTCTTGGAGGAGATGGCCAGCAACGAGTGAAGAACATTCCAGGCAGAGAACATAACAAGAAAGTCTCAGAGGTAAGCGAGGGCTTGATCTCTTTGGGGAACTGCAAGCAGCTCAATTTGTTGGAGAGTAGAGTTTGAGGCAGAGAGTCAGGAGAGAAGGATTGGAGAGGGAAATAGGGGCCAGATCATACGGGGCTTTGTGAATTATTGAGATGTTTGGACTTTATCTTGAAAGTAAGAGAAGCCACAGAAATGTTTTAAGCAAGGAGAACAATATTGCTCCCGCTTTTCAGGTGAGCAAACTGAGGTTCAGAGAAGGGAAGTGAGTATCCCGGGGTCACTGGGATAATCAAAGGTATTAGAGGTGCAAAGGCCGAAGTCCTTAGACTCAACATGGTGCTCTTTCATCCCCTTAGGATGCATGACCACTCTTGTGCAAAAGGGGGTACTATCTTCCATGATTTGCCACAGGGTGGCTGGAACGCTACCCCATCCAGCTTCTCCTGGCTTTTCCCTTTTCATAATTATTTACAACTTATTTTTACAGCCCTGGGCATTGGGAATTAGGCATGCCTGTCACTGCTCAATGCTTTGGGTGCCTTATCCCATTCCATACTAACTTGTATCAGGTTTTTTACGGATGAGGAAATGGAGATCCAAAAGACTAGTCACTCACCTGAGGTCATACAGCTAAGAAAAGGAGGGGCTGGGACCCTGATCTGTCTGATTGCAAAGCCCTGAGCTTAACCATGCTGTCCTGGGAGGAAGGGTGTGGAATTCCCACTCCTAATCTCTTCTCAGCAGGTGACAAATTCAGCAGCAAGTCACCGCCCAGGCCTCCAGGGGGAGCCCCAAGGTGCGTCTGGGGTTTGGGGGTGGAGCTGGGAGTCTTCTCCACCTTTGATGTGCTTAACTGCATTTTCCTCCAGTGGCAGGAAGAACAGCATTTCTAGAACCTGGGCCCTACCAAAAGCATTCTCTCAGGGACTCTGAGGAACAGGTACCCTCATGTACCCCAACAACTGGAAGCTGTTGGGGGAGAGGAGTTGTAGCGTTGCAGAGCCCAGTTAGTATGTACTCCAGCTTACCCTGCCCCAACATCAGGGAGAAACACGGAGCTTCTGGCAAATAAAGGACCTGAAGGGCTACTGGATCCCTAAGGGAGGGCATGGAAAGGGACTGTTTTCCTAATGGGTTGGGTTAGGGGTACGTGATCTGTAGAGCCTCCATGGCATCCTTTGGCAGAGCCAGCACTTCTCCTCTCCCGCCATGGCATCTGAGTCCCTGTCTAGACTACAGGCTCTTCCAGGCCAGTTAGGTCCTGGTAATGGGATTGTGGAAATGTTGGGTCCTGTGTCCCAATGCCGTGTGCATACATGGGCTTCTGGCTGAATCTAGACTGATGTCACCTAGGCCCATCCGGCCCCAGATGTGGCCCTGCAGTTCTTCCTGGCCCAGGCCCGAAGGCAGAGGCTGCGAGAACAGCAGCAAATTTGGATCCAAGAGGAACTGAAGCATTTGGAACAGGAGGAGGAGGAGGCGAGAGATGACCAGGTCAAAGGCCTGGTGGCTGGAGAAGAGGTAAGGAGGGTTCTGTAGGGGACCTGAGCTCCTCACCAGGCCAGGCACTGTGCTGGGGGCGGGGGTTCAGTGTTAATTACAACTGACTGGGCCATACCCTCTTTCCTGGCCCTCACAGCTTTATGGGGGATAGATGAGGCAATTCTCAGTGCTAAGTGCTGTGATGGGGGGAGCTAGGGGCTTGTGGCAACAAAGAGGTATACCTGACCCAGGCTGGGGTGGATCAGAGAAGATGGCATCCAAGCTGAGACTTAAAGGACGAACAAATCAGCACGATTCAGTAGACTCTGAGTCCCACAAAGGCAGTTTGTGCTCATCACGGAGAGGCACTCAGCAACTATAACTTTTTTGAGCAAATTAAGAAACAAAACTTAAGTGCATGGGTTTTGGGGGTGGGTTGGGTGAAGAAACACATACTGAGAGAAGACAGTAGTGTCTGAGCAAAAGTCCAGAGAGGAGCAATGGCAAAATGGACTCTGGGTATTGCAACCTGTCCATTTGGCTGGAGCCTGGCAGGTGCACGGTCAGAGGCAAGGCGGAAGAGCTGTGTGCCATGGCTCTGGATTTGGACTTTACCCTGAGGATGATGCTGAGCCATTGAAAAGCATGTTGTCTCAGCTCTGTCCCTCACTAGCCATATGAATTTGGGCATGTTAAGTCACTTCTCTGACCCAGTTTCAAACTCTGTAAAATGGCAACTTACGTCATAGGGTTGTCATTGAATAAAATGAGATCATACACATGAATATGTAGAACAGAGTGGGCACACAGATGACACTCAGAGTGTAAGTGTCCTCACTTGGTATCCATGGGGGATTGGTTCTAGGATGTCTGCAGATACCAAAATCCACAGACACTCAAGTCCCTTATATAGCATGGTGTAGTATTTGCATATAACCTACGCACATTCTCCATATACTTTTTTTTTTTTAGCTGAGCCATCCTGCCATCTGTTGGCAGCTCAGTGGCAGCTCAGCTCGGGCCGGGAATCGAACTGCTGTTGCTCAGAGCTCGCACTCTTGAGTGAGCTCTTAACCAACTGAGTGACTCACCCAGCCCCATCCTCCATATACTTTAAATCATCTCTAGATTACTTATAATACCTAAGACATGTAAATATATACATATACATGTTTACATATACATGTAAATGCTATGTATATAGTTGTTACACTATATTGCTTAGGGAATAATAAGAAAACTAGTTTGTACATGTTCAGTTCAGATGCCCATTGGCCGAACTACATAGTACACATCAGAAACAATATATATATATATATATATATATATTTTTTTTTTTTTTTAAATATTTTCAATTCCTGGTTGATTGAATCCGCAAATGCGAGACCCGTGGATACAAAGGGCTGACTGTGTTATCACTTCAGGCCTCTAAGGAGAGACAGAGATGGCACCGGGAGCAGACAGTGCTGAGATTCCAGCTGGAGGCTCTTCAGGCACAGCGGGACATTGCAGAGCAGGACCTGATAGCCCTCTATGACCTACATGTGCAGGCCACACGAGCTCGGACAAGCCATGTGCTACAGGTCAGTGGGGACAGAAGGCAGGCCTTGAGATGGTCACAAGGCTGGCTGACTGACAGACATCTCTGAATCTGGACACAGGTGTTCCGAGCCTGGCGAGGGCTGTGGGAGGAACAGACCATGACCACAGAGCATCACCACCGCAGCCTGCTGGCTGGCGTCCTACGAGACAGCATCAGCCTGGCTGCACAGAACCAGGAGCTCCAAGCCCAGAACCAACAGCTTCAGCAGGTGCAGATGAGGCTGGGGACAGCTATGCTGGATCCCTGCCCTGGGGAGAAATCTGGTGATCAGGAATCCTTCAGGGGCAGTTTCCTCTCTCCACATTCTTAAGGGTCTTAGAAAGGAGAAGTTGGGACACAATAACCAAGCTAATCTTCATTACAGATAATTAATACCGTCATTAACCAGGTCTCATTGTGCCAGTCCCTGCTAAGCGCCTAACATCCATTATTTCATATAGCCTTTTCTAGTACCCAATTTAGTTGTAGGTACCAATGACCCCTATTTCAGAGATAAGGCAACTAAAGCTAGGAGAAGTTATCTGCACAAGGACAGTCAGCTAATAAGTGACAGTGCCAGAATTCAAGTCTGGTGGGCTAGAGCTCTACAAAGCAGGAGGTAGTGATTCACAAGCTGCAGTATGCATCAGAATCACCTAGGGAGCTTCTTTTAAAAAAAGAAAAAAGGGAAGGGCCAGCTGAGTGGCTCGTTGGTTAAGAGCTTGCCCAAGAGTGCGAGCTCTGAGCAACAGGGTCGCCAGTTCGATTCCTACATGGGCCAGTGATGCTGCGCGCCGAGCTGAGCTGCCACTGAGCTGCACCTGCTCCTAACAACAAGGCTGCAGGTTCAAATGGTGGGCTATGCCCACCTATGACTAAAAACTGAACTTGGCACCTTGAGCTGAGCTGCCTCCTGGGTGGCTCAGGGGATAGAGTGCGCAGTCAACAACAAGGCTGCCGGTTCAACTCCCGCATAGGATGGTGGCTACGCCCACCCGCAACTAAGGTTGAACACAGCACCTTGAGCTGAATGATGCGACTGAACTTGGAGCTGAGCTTGCTGCGCCCTCCACAACTAAGATTGAAGGACAACAACTTGGCTGTTCCCCTCCCCCAATTCCCTAATAAAATCTTAAAAATAAAAAAAGAAAAAGAAAAAAAGAAAAAGGGAAAAAAAGATTCCCAAACCTCACTTGCTAAAATTCTGCTTCAATAGGTCTAGGACTTTCTTTTTTTTTAAACAAGCTTCCCAGGTATTCTACCACTGGAGCAGGGCCTGACATTGCTCTGGCCATGAGAGCAAATGGCAGGCAGAAATATCAGTGAAGAATCCAGAGGAAGAGAATCAAACCACTTTGAATCCTTAAGAGTTCTTTAGCCTAGAGTCTAGTTTCTCCTGCTAGGCCTAACACCTTCTATTCTTAAGACTCCCTTCAAATTCCCCAGCACCCAAATTTTGTGCCTCAGGAAAATTTCAAAAGCTGTGACAGAGAACAGTCTTGGCTCCATGGAGCCATCAAAGGAAATGCTGCTGCTGACAACAATGGGGCGAAAACAGCCTTTCCTTCTAGTTTATAAGTTACCCCAGGATTAAGATACTCAGGGCACTGGGGGAAACAAAATTGTCTGAGAGGAGCTATGCGACACAGAAGACACAGGACAATCATAGCTGATTGTAGGAACCAACTACACCCCAGAATGCTTTATTAAGACCTTATTGCTTGTGCAGTTAGAGACAGTGATTGAGCTATGCAAGTTTCCCTGTGCCTGGTCCCAGGTCGCTCTGTGTAGAGCTTCGGTGGCTGTTGGGAGCTGGGACACTGCTGGGTAGGGCAGGACCCGGAGTGGGAAGGACGGTACCTCCTAGGAGCTGTAGAGGGGACAGTGGACTTCAAGAGGGCCTTTGGGTAAGCAGAGAGGTCAGGAGTGTAGGCTTAAGCCAGGGCCCAGGGGCAACATTCCCTGAGATGAGTTAAGCCCCAGCCCCTCTGGGGTTTCCAGAACAAAGGCTGGGTGTGGACAGCAGCACTGTGGAGGGAGCAATGGGCACTGTCTCTGGGAGCTGCTGGAGCTAGGGAAGCTTGGCAGAGTGGGTGGGT